GTCCTTTGTACTTCATAGATTCTCAATCAGGATTTATATCAGGGCTTTCATTGAGAAAAGCATAACATTTAAGAGCAATAAGTAATTCCGCACAACAGAAGTCTCAAAGGTACTAGTCTGCAAACTACCTAACACCTGCTTAATCAACACAGGGGAACAACGTAATAGAGAACTTTCACTTCACAGAATCTGCTGAATTCTTCCTTTCCCGTGTATCAGAGAACTGTCATTATAAATCAGTCTGAGAATTGAACTGTTCATACTTTTCATTACTGTATTTTGTATTTGCAACAGAAAACTGTCAGAGAACGATGTGGTTTAATTCAAAATGGATTCTTTTGACTAAAGGGCAAGGACATATACTTAGGGATTCCAAAAAGTTAGAAAGCATATTGTTGTCTTTTGCTTTCATAATGACTCATTGAGATCGCTGCAAGATATCAGTGGCTAGACATGTCCCCCTAGGTGGGGCGGAGGAGCTGTGCCAAACCAAATCTGGTCTCTAAAATCTAATGCCTTTACTAGAACTTTCCCTGGCCTCACTGACATCCTCTCTATCATCCAGGTTCACGTATGTTTTCTTTTAAAGATGATTCATTATTGAGTTTGGATATAGTTTACATTTTATAAAAATTTGGACTACACATGAAAGAATAAAGAATAAAATAAAAACTACCGAAGATTTAAAGAGATTGTTATTGCTAAGAGAACAAATAAGGTGAAAAATCAGGAAGATTGTCATTGGTTTGGAATATTGTTTTTCTCCTTTAATGCGTACTCCAAGCTAAATACTACTTACTCAACCATAGTAACTTCGGTTAAATAGCTCTTTTCTCTTCTTCCCAACCTTGGCCTCTCTTGCTGACGGTAGTGTGTTCCAAGAGAGCTTCTGTGCTCAACACACAGGATGGAAGAGAGGTGGACGGCTACCGCAGGCAAGCCATGTTACGTTTGAAATGTCTAAAAATACATGTAAGTGATCAAAACTGAAAGTTTCTGTGATATGACTTCTCTGGCACTGTTCACCATGTAAGGAATTATTCACTGTGTAAGAACTTGTTCATTATGCTTCAGAAGATTGGAGACTGTTGAGAATTAGGCTTGGGGTTGATTAATGATTGTGCATTGAGTCCCCTGTACAGAATTTTATTGTTGTTAACAACCATTTGATTAATAAATATGAGAGATGTCCTCTCAAAAAAAAAATGGGTAGAGGGTCTGAATAGACATTTTTCGAAACAAAACATACAGATGGCCAACAGACACATGAAAAGATGCTCAACATCATGGAAACGTATCTAAGTCAATTTCTTAAAAATACTGCATCTGACTGTGTCAGGCAGTCTCCTAAGTGATAGAAAGACAAAGACTTTTTAGACAAAGATGTTTGAAGAAGGTATAAGCTAGTAGGAGACGGGCATATGAGAAAAAATTTCATTAGGAGAGACAATCATTATATTTTAAATATATTCACTGTGTAGAGGGACAAGAGATTCTAAAATCTCAGGAGTCTTATAAGGAAAGCTTATATATCAGATATTACTGACTTTAGACTGGAATTACAAATTAGATTTTGATGGATGGACAACGGGTCACCATTCCATGTGCAGAGCAACCCAAGTGGGCACAGGCCTGGATATATGACTGCGTGAAGGGATTTTGCTGAGAAATGGAAAATAAATGTTTAGGGACATAAAAAGAAAGTGTTTGGAAAGAGGTTAAGACTGGCGGGAGAAGAGGCAGGGTGCTGGATCGCAGAGCGCCTTGTAAGCCATGCAAAGGAGTTTAGGTAATGTGGAGTGATAGGTAACCATTAAAGAAGTTGAAAATGGTAGTGATGTGACCAGATTTATGAATCAGAAAGATAAATCCCATGACACATGTTCCCATAGTAGTATGACTATCTGATGGGGAACGGAGGACATGGCCAGAGGAAAAGCAACTAGTAATGAAGCTGTTATAAATTTGCAGTTGGGATTTGATGAAGGCCTGAAGTAGGGCAGCAGGGTTGGTGGTGTGGAGGTAGGAGTGACTGTAAACATGTTCAGGGAGAAGAACTCAAAGAACTTAGTGATGGACTGAATATGACAGGGAAGGAAAAAGAATGACTCCAGGATAACTTCTTGGCTTCTGGTCTGAGATACCAGGTGTTCACTCAGAGAAGCAGAGGATATCAATGGAAGAATGGTTTTATTGAAGGTGACAAGTTGTGTTTTAGGCATGTTGATTTTGAGTCACCTGCAAGGTAACTAGGAAATAAAATTGAGTAGTGTCTTTGATTAGAGAGATCAGAAGTGAAATTTTGTCAAAAGCTGTAGGTTTTGAAGTCATACACTTGTATTAGTTTAAGCCATGGACATGGATGAGATGCTCCAGTTTCCAAGAGACCTTAAATATTAGGCTCCAAATGTGGAGCATTTCTTTTCTATATACAGGACTCAGTGAAAATATCTTTTTGGGGGAATAATAGAGTAGGGTGGTAGTGTAATGGGCTAGGCTGTTTAAATAGACTGGTATTGTCTATAGCATATTTAATAAATTTTGGAAGTCCCCCAATGCAGATTATTTTTCTTAACGAAAATTTTGTAAAATCTAAGAGGTGCCTCAGGATTAGTCCATGACTCACCCTGGGAGCCCAAGAGGTGTTTTCCTTTGTACCTCAAAGATTCTCAAGCAGGATTCATATCAGGGCTTTCATTGAGAAAAGCATAACATTTAACAGCCGTAAGTCATTCTGCACAACACAGGTCTCAGAGGTACTAGTCTGCAAACTACCTAACACGTGCTTAATCAACACAGGCGAAGAACATAATAGGGAATGTTCACTTCACAGAATCTGCTCAATTCTTCCTTTACCTTATATCAGAGAACTGTCATCATAAATCAGTCTGAGAGTTGAGCTATTCATACTTTTCATTACTGTATTTCATATTTGCAACAAAAAAACTGTCAGAGAAGGATGTGGTTTGGTTCAGAATGGATTCTTTTCAGTGAAGGGAGAGGCCATATACTTAAGGATTCCAAAAAGTTAGAAACCGTTTTGTTGTCTTTTGCTTTCATAATGACTCATTCAGATCGCTGCACGATATCAGTGGCTATACATGTCCACCTAGGTGGGGCGGAGGAGCCATGCAAAACCAAGTCTGGTCTCTAACTTGATGAAGAGTACGTATGATTAAAGATGATTCATTGTTGAGTTTGGATATCGTTTACGTTTTATAAAAATTTGAACTACTCATGAAAGAATAAAGAATAAAATAAAAACCACCTAAGATTTAGAGAGATCATTATTACTAAGAGAACAAATAAGGTGAAAAATCAAGAAGATCGTCATTGGTTTGGAATATTGTTTTTCTCCTTTAATGCGTACTCCAAGCTGAATAGTACTTACTCAGCCATAGTAACTTAGGTTAAATAGCTCTTTGCTCTCCTTCCCAACCTTGGCTGCTCTTGCTGACGGTAGTGTGTTCCAAGAGAGCTCGTATGCTCAACACACAGGATGGAAGAGAGGTGGACGGCTACCGCAGGCAAGCCACGTTATGTTGAAATGTCTAAAAAACTACAGGCAGAAAGTTGAAATACGTGGTTGGATACATTAGTTGGTAGCTCAGTGGTAAGGACAGGCCTGGAGATCAAAACTAGTGATCTGGATAGAATCGCCAAATGTGAGAAAGTAGATATAGGAGAGGATGCAGGGCTGAGCAACATCAAGATGTTGAATAGAGGCTAAGCCTGCATAGAAGATTGAAAAGGGTGGCTGGTGATGTCATGAGGTCCAAGCAGGAAGATGTGCCAATTCTGTTGAGTATGCAGAGAGGTCGAGAGATGGGAACTGAGAAGGAATTCCTCATCTGGGACTCTCTTTTCTCCTCCTTTGCATGGTAGCTCTGAGTAATCCCTTGGAGTCACATGAATGCCCCTCCTCTTGGCAAGTCGTCTTTTCTCAGCCAGTCTCCTTGACTAGGCAAGTTTCTCCACACACACTACTTTCTGTAAAATAGCACCTGTAGTTTTGCTGTTGCTAAGCTAAACATCTGCCTCCTTTATTGGCTCATATGCTCCTGGAGTGCCAGAGGCTCACCTTTCTTCTTTATCATGTTTACGAGACTCAGCACTGGAAATTGTGCACAGTAGGTGCTGAGAAACATTTGCTGAATGAATGGATACGTGAATGGACTAGACAATATTTATTTTGTTCCCAAGTCAAGAGAGGATCTAAGACTCTTCCACAGTTAATTCCTGTTGTTTTGAAAGGACTGCTGCCGGGCATTCCCACTGCCTGTGTAGGTACCAAAGGCAGACCATCCACCCCAAGATGTGGCACTTGGGCGTGCAGATTATTCTGAGCTGAAAACTATCAAGGCCCAGGAGACTCAGGAAGATACTTGTATATCCCCACAACAACTGCTTAAAAAGTGTTGAGATGGAGGTACTGCTCTGGGAGGAAGGCCATCACCACAGATGGCTATATCATATTGTGAACGAGGGGTGGTAGACAGGAAGGAGTGTGACAAAGCCTGTTGTGGCCCATCAAGTATTCTCTTTACAAACATTTACTCTTTTCATATTCCTGTGAATTACTTCCCGCTTCCTTTGCAATCTCAGACCCATAGTACCCCCTTCTCCTTGGTTCAGGATGACATGACATATATGCCTCATGGTCCCTGGTTGTCTTTGGGATCCATGTCTCTGGCTTCCCTGAACATATGTAAATAAACTCTGTGTGGTCTTATTTTTGTCCTGTTAATCTGTGTCATGTCAATTTGATTCTTAGACCGGCTAGAAGAACCTCGAGGGGTAGAGCAAATTTCTTCCTTCCAGTACGTAGTATGATGTGCGTCTCCCGTCCTTCACTTCCTTTCTCTTCACCTCTTTCAGGCAGCATCCGTTGACTACGTCTGTGCATTTTTAAAGAAAGCCCTGCTTATAGTTCAACATTCAGGTATTATCTATATTGTTTTTAGTGTTCTCATGTTACTTTTCTCTCTTTATGTAGCTTCAAGGTGGAAAAAAACTTAGCATAAAATGAAGCATCCCAGCCTCAAGTTTCAGCTGTGCCACTAACCAACGTAATAATACAGTTGAGTCAGGACTCTGGCCCTACGAGTTTCCTCATCTCTGAAAACCTGCTAAAAAACTTCATACTCTATTAAAAGGTCTGTATCACTTTATTTTTTTCATTCATGTCTTAGAATATGTTCAGTGTTCTCTACTGTACTCTGCCTACAAAGAACATTTTAAAAATCCTTCAGTTAATATGTTCAAGAAGTAGTATGTCCAGTTCTTGGCTTTATAATCTCATAAAGCTGGAAATTATCTTCACATTTGGTGATTCTAAACCCTCATGCAAATGCGTACATTTCCCTATGATCCTTTTCATGTGCTGCTCAGTTGAGTTTGCCAGTGTTTTCTTGAGGACTTTTGCGTTTATGTTCGCCTGGGATAAGGCTTGTAGTTTTCCTTGCTTACAGTGTCTCTGTCTGGCCTTGGTATCCAGGTAATGCAAACCTTATAAAATGAGTTTGTTATTGTTCCCTCTTCAATTGTTTGAAAGAGTTTGAGATGGATTAGCATGAATTTCTCTTTAAACGTTTGGTACAATTTGGTAATGAAACCACCTGGTCCTGGATATTTCTTTGCTGGGAGATTTTGGATTCTTGATTCAGTGTCTCTGTTCATTATTGGTCCGTTAAGGTTTGTAGTTCTTCATTATTCAGTCTTGATAGGTTGTATGTTTCTTTTCCTCTAGGTTAACCAGTTTGTTGGCATATAATTATTCATAATAATGTCTTACAATCTGTGGGCAAAATTACAACATCTCCAGAATCTCTTGCCTAGCCTTAGTGCATCTCCATATCAATAGGATTCCAAGGGGCAGAGAGAAGTTGTTCATCTCCGTATCAATAGGTAATTACAAGGGCAAGTGTGGGTTTATCTGGACTGGAGTGGTTGGGTGGAGCTCTTTCTTTTTCTGTAGCTGGGTCATGAGAGACATGGCAGAGCAGAAGTGGATGACTGCTTGAAAGAAATAAATGGGTTTCTCCCACTTTATTTCTGCCTTTGACTGATTTCGATTTCAAAGGTATTGTATGCTGGAGTTTTCCCTCTGGAGTTACAAAATTCTTTTTATTTGTGTGGCATCAGTTGTAATGTGTTCTCTTTCATTTCTGATTTTATTTGAGTCTTAGTTTAGCCAAGAGTTTGTCAATTTTGTTTGTCTTTTCAAAAGATAAGTTCCGTTTTGTCTTTTTTTCTATTCTCTATTTTGTTTATTTCTGCTCTCATAACTGTTATTTCCTTGCTTCTGCTGACTTTGGGCTTAGTTTATACAGATTTTCTTAATATTATTTTTAACATTAATCAGCTGTTTATTGAGTTTTGGCAGTGCTAGGAAGCACTATTCCAGATTTTTCTTGTCTTCCAGAAAAATTCCCAAAATTGTAATTATCATGAATTTTATGAAATACATATGAAAAATTCAAATACATTTATAATTAATGTATTTTATCAGCTCTTCTATTTTTAAGCATGTAACCACCGCTAATGTATGTAAAGCAATTTATAGTTAATGACAGCTCTTTGGATTTTCTAACAAATTATATATTAATTTTCAATACATTTTAACCCCTTTTTTGAAATAATAGTTTATGTTAACTGGAATATCTTTTAAATAATCATGCCGAATTAATAAAATACATACTTCAATGAAACTTTAAGAAATTCAGAAGCACCGAAGCACTGCATTTTAAAGGAATCGAGTACTTTCCAGTTAAACTATGCAACCTGTTAAAAAGAAAACCATGGGCCCAAAATGGAGTCGCTTATGTTAAAGCCTCCCTCTGCACAATACGTAACTACAGTTTCAACCCCCTCCGGGACTGTAACCATTAAGCAGTCGATATGGAATTTCCCAGTCAATCCTAGGAGGGTGAACTTGCTGAAAACAACGAATTCTTTGCTAATAATTTCCTTTATCCACTCCTTCTCTGCCTTTGCAAACCTTTGCTGTTCTGCAACTCAAAGGAGCTCCCTCTGCTTGCTAGATGGGATGCTCCCTGAGTCATGAATCATTTTAAAAAGCCAATACAATCTTCAGATTTACTTGGTTAAATTTCATTTTTTAAGAAACCTGACGTGGGAGCTCAACAAACTATGAAATGGCAAAAATGAATTTGCTGCACCATTAAAATTCTTTCAACCAGGTTTCCTTTCAGCATCGACTTTTTCTCCAGTAAAGTAGACATATTCATATTCATTGACCAGTGATCCATGCCCATGATCTATGTGATAAATATAACCTTTCATAAAGAGTTTGTAATGATGAAGTGGTTTTGAGGTTTCATAACCTGAGAAAGCACATTTCATGAGAATTATCAAAGCAATTGGGGATAGATTTAAACACTTCAGACCTTGGAAGAGATAGTGCTCACCTTTTCCTAATTATAATAAAAGGAGGTGTGGGGTAAAATTGTAAATTTCCAGAATCTCTCACCAGGTCTTAGCCATTTACATATCAATAGTTGTTTCTTCCCTCAGTTTCTGGGACAAGGGACAGAGAGAGACTGTTCTCTCCTCCCCTCTGTAACATAATTGTTGTGGCACCTGTCATTCCCTGGGGATCTGCCCCTGGAGTTTCTCCCAGAAGGGGCGGGTAGAGAGGCGAGCTTGTGCAGGGACTGCAGGGAGATGGGGAGTGAGAGCGGCCGCCAGAGGGGAGAACAGAGCCAGTATTCTTCATGTGCAATAAACGGGTTTCTCCCGACCTAGCCTTTCCTTAGACTCATTTCAGTCTCACCAGTTAATCACCCTGGGCTGGGAACACTGCCTCCACCCCCTAACCCCCCACAGGAGGCCAGTGAGATGAATAAATTTGCCAAAACAACACAGCCATTAGTGTCATGGACAGAACTGGAAGCCAGCTCTCCTAAGTTAAATTTTGTTCTGCTTTCCTATCCACATGAGGTAAAGGATCTAAACATAAAAATAAGGTTTGTATAGGCCTTTCTAGCAGGGGTTAGCAAACTGTAGCGTGTAGGTCAAATTTGGTCTGCGTGTTTTTGTAAGGAAAGTTTAATTGCAGCAAACCATTCTTTTCCATGTTATCTGTGGCTGCTTTGTGCTACATTGACAACACTGAGTAGAGACCATAGCGGCCCACAAAGCCTAAACTGCTTACTGTGGCCTTTTACAGAGAAGTTCACCAAACCCTGCTTTATAGTTCCTAAAGATTTCACATTTGTTATTTTGTCTCCACAAAAAAACTTTCAAGATAGATATGGAAAACATTTTTACTCTCTCTATTTTATGCATGAGTCAGCGGAGACTTAGGGCTGTTAAAGGACTTTTTGAGAGTCCTATAGCTGTTTGGTGGTGTGAATGGAGCAAGAATATTGATTTCCCAGATCCCTAGGCCACAGCTTTCATACATCCTCCAGACAGAAAAGCTTCTACTTCTTGCCATGTAGCTGTGATAATGTGATTTATAATAAGAAATATATATTTGGTCTTTGTTCCTGTTTCTGGCACAGGACTCCTAAAACCCTTGGAATTTCCTAAGTGATGAAAGAATAAAGGTGTGTTTTGCTGTGTTAATGAAGTAGGTTTTGGATAGTCCCTGGGTAGCCAAAGGATGGGGACTGGTTGCAAGAGGATCCAACTGTGCAATTAGAGAGTTGGGCTTTGAGTCACTTCCCAGACTGCCAGAGAGGGGAGAGTTGCTGGAGGTTGAATCAACTGTCAATGACCAGTGAGTTCATTCATCGTGCTTATATAATGAAGCCTCCATAAAAACCCAAAACGACTGGGTTCAGAGAACCTCCAGTTGGTGAACGCACGTAGCTTCAGGGAGAATGGTAAGCCTGGGGAGGGCATGGAATCTCTGTGCCCTTTCTGCATATGTTGCCTTATGCGTCTCTTCTGTGGCTGTTCCCAAGTTATAAACTTTCATCAAAAAATCTAGTACTCTAGCTAGAAAAATGTTTCTCTGATTTCCATGAGCCACACTATCACATTAATTCAATTTGAGGAGGGAATATTGGGGTCTTCCCAAGACCTCTGATTTATACCCACTTGGTCAAAAGTACAGGTGGCAATCTGGACTTCGGAGTGGCATCTGAAGTCCAAGGGGGCGGGATGTTGAAACATTCAGTTCTATGGCTGGTTGTTCAGAAGCACAGGCAATAACCTGGGCTTGTGGCTGTCTTCTGAATTGGAGGGGGCAGTCTCAGAGGACTGAAACCTAACCTGTGGAATCTGTAATATCCCAGATAAATTGTTTCAGAATTGAATTGACTTTTTGGATCCTAGCTTGTGTCTGAGAATTGCTTGTTGGTGGAAGGATTCCCCCAACACACAGACAAACACACACACACACACACACACTCAGAAACAGATGATCAGAACACTAAAAATAGGCTCTTGCAGTTTTACCCATTGGTTACATCTTATATAATTGTAGTACAATATTAAATCCAAAAATTTGACCTTGGTACAATATGTACATAGTTCTGTGTCATTTTATTCCATGTGTAGCAGTTTCATGCAAATACCACTATAATCAAGATACATATTGATCTCTAGCAACCTAAGTGTCTATCAACAGATCAACAAGAAAATGCTGTATGTGTATGTATACTATGCATATTTGTGTGTATGTATGTATATGTGTATGTATGTATAATGGAATATTCAAACATAAGAAAGAAGGAAATTGTGTTGTTTGTGAAAACTTTTATGGATCTTGAAGGTTTTCTGCCAAGTGAAAAATGTCAGACAAAGAAAGAGATACATGTATGATCTCACTTGTATATGGAATCTAAGAAAACCTGAACTTAGAGAGAACAGGTTGGTGGTTATAAAAAATGGGGGCAAGGGGTGTGCAAAATGTGTGAAAGTAGTAGAAAGGTATAAACTTCCAGTTATAAGTTTAATATATTGTAAGGATGTAACCTATAGCATGGTGACTACAGCTAATAATTATGTCATGTATTTGAAAGTTGCTAGGAGAGTAAACCTTAAAAGTTCTCATCACAAGGAAAAATAATTGAAACTATGTGAAATGATGGATATTAACTAAACTCATTGTGGTAATCATTTTACAATATATACATATATCAAGTCATTATGTTGTATACCTTAAACTCATACAATGTTACAT